ACAACATAAAGTTGTTGCTCTTTCACCTGACTTCCTTCCATGTGTTAGTCCTTACATCACTGATAATAGTATGTGCTCCATAAATATTTCTTGAATAATCAATGAATCAATTTTAGCTATGTTTACCAATGTCTACTACAACCAACTGAGGTCAATCTCAGGCCTTTTGGGGCACCTGCATCAATATTCTTTCTCTTCTATTTTCAAAATAATTTTTTCTGCGTTTGCAATTTTTCACAATTACCACAAATAAACCAACCACATATTTTCAAATCTCTAACAAACTTAGCCTCAGGTAGCTATGTAAGATAATTCATTTTAAAAAGACTAAGTATAGTCAATTGGACAATAAAGAATACAAATAGCTGTCCCCTCCAATTCATAAAACAGATCAACACTCACAATTCCAAAATCTGTTAGACAGGAATTTGTTTTTCCTGTCTGTCTATACCACTTAGCCATTTCTGCTTCTCAAGACTAGCCATTTCACTAAGGCTGCAAAAATTGTCATCTATTTATTCTTTCATTCTTTTAATGTAAACTAGTTCTGTTCTAATGATTATTAACCAGTTATTAAAATGAAATATCACATAATTCTGATTGTCTTAGACATGGTAAATAACTTCACAATATAGGACATTTTAAAAATATATTATTCCAAAATAAATAGAAGCCTAAAGTTAAAAAGCTTAACAGAATCAAGTAGTAGTAATTTAACAGTAATAGAAATAACCATAAAATGAAAGCCAAGATAAAAATATTATGCCAAAGTCAGTTTCATTATACCATCGCAAACTCTCTAAAACTGTCAGAGATCTCAAACTATTAGCCATAAATGAACCTTAGTCTCAGAACAGCATATAGAAAAGTTCCTTTTGAAAGTGAACCTTAGTCTCAGAACAGCATATAGAAAAGTTCCTTTACCAGAAGGGCAAACTAAACTTAAAAAACACCTTTTGTTTCATTTTATGTGTAGCTAGAATGGAAGACATAGTTCCAAAGACTATCTTAATAAATCTATCATGGGTAGGGGAGAAAAAAACCCTACATTATTCAGCTTCTATTAGAATCATTTTAGTCTTATTTAATACTCCATATTTCATTCATTCAGCAAATAGTTATTAAACTACTACAGTGAGCTAGACTGTTGTGCTATTAAAATCACAATAACAGCAACAATAGGATTGAGCAAAACAATATTTTCACCAATATATTTATTATTATTGGAGTAAAAGCAAGCAAATATTTAAGTCCAGAAAATAATAAGAATGAAAAAGAAATTTGAGTAAGGTCCCTTCTCCCCCATCCAAACATGATCATGTTATTCTTAACATCTTAATAGTAGCTATTACTCCCTCAGCCTACAAACTGGTATTAAACTCTCTGAATTATAAAAGAGAAATTTGAAATGAGCAACTCTACTATTTGTAATTAGATCTCTACTGCTGTTCTTCAGAAGCCCCTCAAACTACCCTAAAAGCCCAGATCTTTAACATAGAGTTCTGGGAACTTCCATAGGAATTAAGATGTATAACAAAACAAGATACCTGACTGACACAGTTGTTTGGTATGCACTTTCTCAGAATGGATAACAGAACTGTATACATGAGACTGAACTAACTAAGACCTGGAAGTCTCGATAAGAAATTGAGGATTATGTCTGTAGATATACATGCGTGCTGACCATGACCTGAAAATTTAAATTCTCTAATGCAATTTTTCTAGAATCCTTTCTAGAAAGCATGAAAAGTTAAAATCCTTGCCATTTAATCTTGAAGGGAAGACAAATACTTTAAAGCATACCTTCTGAAGATATTTCTTTCAGAGTTTTTTCTTTTTGCAGGGGAAAGGAATGTTGATTCTGATTATTTATTAGGCTATGCCCCTATTCTAATCATTTTCTCATTTAAAGGCAATTTCTGAGTTAACATTGAAAACCACAGCCAAACTCTTCATGTAAAAATGATTTTAAAAAGCTCTACCTGTATTGAATGAGTCTACCCTCACTTCACATGCAAAATTAGTGTAAATGGTGTTATATCCTCTTCAGGTGTAGACTTCAATAAAGATTATTCTATGACTGTGGTAGACAGCACTCTAAAATGTGTGACATGGGTCTTAAGTCTGTGTCTCTGAGTACCTAGGTGACTCTCTGTATAGGATTCATTGGTAGTTTGGACTAGATTCTTAATTCCCTAAGTGCGGTCCCTAGAACAGCAACATCATAATCACCTGGAAATATGTTAGAAATGAAAATTGAAACCCTACCCAGACCCCCTGAATAATAAACTGGAGGAGGGGCCCAGCAATGTCTTTTAATACCCAGGTGATTTTGATATGTGGTCAAGTTTGAGAACCTCTGAACCAGATTCTAAAAACTTTAAAATTCTAGTTATTAGATCAACTATCTTATTTAGAACTAGCACCATGTTTAATTAATTGCATTCAATCATTCCTAGTCTGAATAAAATACTATAATCAAAATACCACATTAGTAGTATTTTAAAATTTACATTTTACAAAGACAAAATTTATATTAGCAAGCTTTTCCCTATTAAGCAGACACTGTGACAAATGCTTGATATTATTTTAACAGTGGTGATCTCCAAATTAAATCTTGGTTCTCTTCATATTTAGAATGTAGGAACATATTCTGGCTGTTGTGAAAAATAAATTCATGCTTTTATGATAGTTAAGGTGCAGGCATTTTGCATCTATTTCTCAAGACTGGTCGCTACATACAGCTTTCTCTCACTTTCCCATTTCCCCTGAGAGAAACACTGGGCTGTCATTCAAAAGGGGGTGCCATAACGGAACTATCTGACTAATTCAATTAGATGAAGCATTTTAGGATTCCCACCTATAGGAAATTTAACCAGTTAGAAACCATGAAGTCTCATACATTTAAATAATTCTTATCCCAAATAGGTCTGGTCCCAAAATGTGATTCAATGAAGTGTATTTCAACAATTAACAACATGCAAATTGTTTTACCTTAGAACTGTAACTCCCAAAGACAAAAGTGTTAGACTTAAGACAATACCTTTAACTTTTCTGAGGCTATTACAAAAGGAGAACAAAAATAATCCTTTGACACGACATAAAACCCAAACCCGGGATGACTGTCAGAGACCAAAAGGCAAAGCCATTAGAAAACAGCAGGGGTCAAGTTTAAAAGTCCGCTTTTGCTCCCCAAAAGACTCTCTTCCCACCCAATTTGTTTTGCCAGGTAATTGACCTACAGCAAACTCCTCCCTCCCTGACTCACTTCCTTTAACACTTATGTCAGCCTAACATTTTCATTGAAACAAATGCTCTTATCTATTTCACACCATAATTTTAGAAAAGGTTCTTACTAGCTAAATAAACTGACATACTCCTAGAAACACTTTTTTTCCTTAAGGAAAAAAAAAGGAATGTACCTAATTTCTATAAATTTTGTCAAAAAATGGTAGATAAAGCCAAAAACCTCAGAACTACTATTTTCTTGCTCCAGGCACACACAAAATTGCTTTCACTGAGAATCCAAAAAGCATTTATTTTACAGTACTCAGTAAAAGCATATTAAAATCTTCTGCCCTGCCATCCTAGACCCATAAAGAATTTAGTCATGCAAGTGACTAAATCCTGTGCAAAGGTGATTAATGCACCCAGCAACCTACTTCATTTCCAATTTTCCACTTCCAAATATTTCCTGCCATTATATATACACATTTCTTAAATTAGATACTTGGCAGCATTTTGTCAAAAGGCTTCCAAAAATTTTTTAAATTTAAATTTTTTAATTTTTTAAAAAGACAGTCAAATGACAAATGCCTTTGAAAAAAATCCTCCAGATAGTATTTGACAAGTCTTCAGAATTTTCAACACTTTAGATCTACTTAAGCAACTAAATATACTCAAATGTGAAAAGAATTTTTACAAAGGCATAAATTTGAGCCTTCTCTTAATTTGTATATATAGAATATTTATACTATTGCCTCCCAATTGTATTTGATAACATAAGTGAGAGTGAAAAAAATGGCAATAGGACTATCACAGGCAAAAATTCTCTACTCCTCCCCTCAACTGGAATACTGAGATGCCTCCTGGGCAGAAAACAAACAAACAAAAAAACACCACATTTTAAGGCAAGATTGTTAATATCGCTTTAAAGAAACCTGCGCCTGTAACTTTCTTTTGGTTTTGTCAAGGGAAAAAGACTCTTCAGACTTCAGCTACACTTCACAGACCTAAGGTATATCAAGTACTGTTGATACATATGGACATATACTTTCTTTTATTCTGTAGAAGTTATATTATTGACTAAAGACCTCCTTAAGAAAAAAAGCTCACACTGCCTCCTACTGTTAGAAGGAAAAATATATGAGGTCAAATATGATGCACAAAATGCAGAGTGCAATGATAGCAAGAAAATCGTCTTAGCCTGTTTTCTTTCCAAATCTAACTATTTCCAAATCAAAACTTCAAAAGGGTTGACATATTATCTACCACCCATACAAATGTACTGCAAAAATCATCACTGGGTGACTTCAGAATTGGAAACCATCTTCCCCAAACATGTTTTTATTTTGTTGTGTGACATAAACAGGAAAAAAAAATAAAATAAAATTTAAAAAATGCCACCCTACTTTGCCAGATGGATGGTTACTTGGTTACTTTTCCAGATCTAACATAGCATTAAGTGGTTGGTTTCTCCCCTTCCCTACCTACAGTGAGGTCAATCTTTCTATGACAGCAGAACAGATTGAGTATACCTGCTCACCTTCTAATCAGACAGTATGGCCATTCCCAGGGCTTCCTAGACTTAGATGATTTTCTACACATTTAAGAAGTTGGGTGTAATGTTACTCAACTTGTCAATGACATACCTTCTGTCTTCAAAATTTGACAAGAAATTCTTGAGGGCATCATGTACCTGCCCTTGTTCACCTCAGCCATGATACTATAATGATATTGTATAAAATTACTAATATGAAACACAGAAACACAAACAATAGTTTTGGGTTTGTTTCTTTAAAAATGACATTTGTATTAAAAGTCTTAAAATGAAGAGACAATGATTAAACGCATGGAATTAAAAATTACAATTAGTTAAATTCTCTTGGTACATCACAACAGCAAAATTTTGCTCTTTGCTTCTGGAGGAACACCCTATAACAAATAATCAAAAACCATTTAAAAATAATATAAAAGGGGAGCTAAATACCTGAAAATTTGAACAAAATGGAGCAAAAAAAAAAAATGAAACATTCATTGCAAGACATGGAAATTACATTTTAAAGGCTAAAAATGATAAAGAAATTCACCAAACAACAGGCCCTATTGTCCTGGCTCCTTCAGGAAGATTTCTGAAAGGAAACTGGGAAGTGGTATGGGGAATAGCAGATTCTGGGATACGGTGGGAAGTTCACAGGTTGGCACCGGCTGGAACAGCTGAGTTTTGAAGGCACTCTGCAGACACAGGGGTGCTGGGAGCCCTGAATCACATTTACAAAGTCTTTGTACTGTATTTTAAAAAGCTAGTCATTAAAATCTGTTACTGCCCCCCCAAAAAAAACCCAAAAAGCTAAACTTAAAAAAACAACCACACACACACTCACACATACAATAGTACACACAAAAATGTGCAGATCTGTAACATTTTTTTCACAGCTGATAAAAAAAAAAAATACTACCGTTCTCCCCCAGACTCCCCTTTGATACAGTAGGTAAACAAAATAGATTCTTTTTCCCACAAATATCAGCAGACACTTTCTGGCACCCCACACTGTATTGGCATCAGTGTTAACAGTCCCAGTTCAGATGTGCAATACTTCAGATTGGATACACTGTAACAAGAATCCAACTTTGCATAGACATCCTCAGAATCGCAATCAGTCACGGGGTTGCCCTTCCAAGCTGGCAGAAAAGGAACCCGATCTTAATTTCCAGCTACTCCTGGAAAACAAGTAAAAAACAAAAGTTTCTTCCTCTCCTCCTGCTCCTTCATATGGTTCTCCTGGACTTCCTTCCATGTGTTTAAAACTTGGAAGTAGAAAACGGTTGTTGACCAAAAACAAACAAACAAAAAAACCCAAAAACCAAAAGAAAAAAACAAAACAAAACAAAAAAAACCTTTCCACCTTCTTCCTCTCCGTTTCTTCCACCCCTCCCCCCATTTTTTTTTTCCAGGCTGAAACTTTTGCTTGCCGGGTGTCAAGCTGCCAATACTGCGCCCTAATGGCTACTTAAACGGGAAATATGCGTCAACCAAAATCAATGAGAAACGTACATGCTGCAAAGAGCCACATTTCCACCAGGGTCTCGGATGGTCAGGACGGGACACCCCCTCGGACACGGGGTGGATGGAGGCAGGGGACGCAGGCCGCAGAGGCCAGCCAGGCTCCGGGACATCCTGGCCAATGCAAAGTCGTCTCCCATCTCAAAGTAAGAAGAGAAATCACATTTAAGAGAGTCCGGTGCGTTTGGCTTTTGTGCGCAAAACGCGGCTGGCGCGCGGCGGCCGCGGGCGCCTCAGAGGATCACGCAGGCGGAGCAGCAGCCCTCGTCGCCGTTGGGCTGCGCCGCGTAGTTCATCTGCCGCACGATCTCGGCGAACAGCTCGTCCACCGAGGCTTTGTTTTTGGCCGACGTCTCCATGAAGGGGCAGCTCCACTCCTCGGCCAGGGCCTTGCCCTCGCCGTACGAGACCTCGCGCTCGCCCTCCAGGTCCACCTTGTTGCCTACCAGGATCATGGGCACGCGCTCGTACCGCTTCACCCGGATGATCTGGTCCCGCATGGGCTTGATGTCCTGGAAGCTCTGCTGGTTGACGAGGCTGTACACGAGGATGAAGCCCTGGCCATTCTTGATGTACAGGTCCCGCATGGACGCGAACTGCTCCGTGCCCGCTGTGTCCAGGATCTCCAGCACCGACGGCGACGAGTCCACCTCAATCTCCTTGCGGTAGAAGTCCTCGATGGTTGGGTCGTACTTCTCGATGAAGGAGCCGGTCACGAACTGCACGGTGAGCGCGGACTTGCCCACGCCGCCCGAGCCCAGCACCACCACTTTGTACTCTCTCATGGCTCCGTCAGCGCTCTCGCCGCGCCTGCCGCGGCCCCGTCGGGGCTGCGCGCCGGGGAAGGCTGTGCTCGGCGGCTGGACTTCTCCCCTTCCTCAGCGCCGCAGGAAAAACCCAGGACAGGGTGCCGGGGAGCGCAGGGCGCGGAAATCACCAAGCAGGGGCCGGGCGCCGGACCAGCCGGCGGCGGCGGCTCGTCGCTGGGGCGCGCGTCCCGGGCCCGCAGCAGTCCGCGGCGGCAGCGGCAGCCCTGGCGGCGCACCGGGAGGACAATGCCGGCGGCTTCTGCGAGGCGACGGCTGGAGCTTCTCGCCGCGGCAGCCCGAGACGGTGGGGAGGCGGTGGAGGAGGGCTGTGGAGGCGGCTGCTAATTGCGCGTCGGGTCGGGGCGCGCGTGGCATGAGTCCCCGCGGAACGTGCGCCCACCGCCGCGGCCCATCGCGCTCTCTCCCGCAGCCTCCGCTGGGCGAGGGCTTCCTACTCGCCGCGCGCAGCCCGGCCCTCCCCGCCCCGGCGAGCATGCCCAGTGCGCGGCCGGCTGCGCCCCGCCCGAACCGCCGCTCCCGGTTTTCCGAGGGGCCGGCCGGGGGCGGGGCCGGGGCGGGGCTCCCGAGTCGACTGCGGGTTCGCGAGTGGCGCGAGTCCAGGAACTGGATGGGACGGGAGGTGAGAGGCGTGTGCTGTGTGTAAGGGGCTGGGAGGGCTCAGCGGGGAGCGCGGAGGCCGCTTTCTTTCAGGGCTCTGGGGTCCGTGCGCAGGGGCGGTGGTTCTGCGAGGAGCGCGCGGGCGCGGCGAGCCGGCTCAGGGTGGAGTGGGCTGCGCGCTTGCCGACCCCGGTGCCGGAGGCTCGCGGACGCCATTCAACACGCCCCGGGCGGGTGTGCCTCGGGCCGGAAACCCACGGGGCATTTCGGGGCCGCCACATGCGTGACTGACGGGCGGAGCATCCACGCCCCACCGCCCTGTCTAAACCGTTCGCGCCAGAAGCGCTACCCCGCCGTCTCCGGCCGGCTCTTCGCTCTGCAGCCAGCGGACAAAGAAAACGGGAGTGACGGTGGCCCCGACACGCTGCCCACGTTAGGGAAGGGGTAGCCTCGTGTGCCCGAGCTGGGTCCGGGCAGGGTCCCTGCGGGCCCGGCTGTGGTCAAAACCCGGAGGTCTGAGCACTTCCCGATCCGGAAGGCTCGGCGGCGCCCACACTCAGTCAGGGCATGCTCAGTCGCAGAGCAGGTTTTCGGGCTTGGAAGTAGGAAGCTTTTGCACCACACACCCACACTCCGGCTCAAATTACCTCGCCCAGACTCCGCACTCATTGGTCCCGGGGCGCGAGTCTCACACCCCCAAATGTTCTCCCATTGGCTACCGCCAAGGTTTTATCAGTTTAGGCTGCTTCATTGGCTGAAAAGTAGCCTGCGCTCGCTATTGGTTATTTATAGAGATTGAGCTGCGAGGCGGAGGCACAGCTGTTCTTTCTCCGCGGCTCCCCCGCCCTCTTCCTCCCACTTTCCCTACCCAGTCGTTTCGAAGCTAAAGTGAAAAAACAGGAGGAATTTAGGCGGAGAGCTCAGACCTAAATATAGTTCTTTGTTAGTGTTTTCGAGAGAGTCTGACTTCTCGTGCCCAGTCACGACCGTCCCTTAAAGGGAGCAGAAAGGGCTAATTACAGTTTTGAGTCCGCAAGAAACCACAAAGTTTCCAAGTTTTTTGCACGGAGGGGGATGGGGCTAGGATGAGAAATGGGCCTTGGAATTCGTGTCCCCCGGAGGGGTCGGGGGAAGGTCCAGGCTTGCTCCGTAGGAAGCGTCTCTGCTGTCGGGCGGGCAGTTGCTAGACTTGGCTCGTCCCGTGCTCGCGGGAGGTGAGAGCGCGATGCCTCGACTTGTTCTGAGTCTCTCTCGCCAAGGAGAGACGTCAAGACCTGTCTGCAGACTTAGCGCTGGCAGCGGGGGAGCTCCAGGGCGAAGGGGCTGGGAAGGCCACCGAGCTGCGTCGACCCTGGCTCGGTGTCCTGCCTTTCTTAGCCGCTGCCCCTGCCCGCTGGTTTGACCGGCAGCATCAGAGGGATGAGCCCGGCAGTGTGTTTTCAGTTCCTAGTCCTGCCGTGACTCACTGCTGCGTTTGACAGTCAGCCTTCTCCAAACTCCTGGTTAAGGCTCCCAAGGTGCGAGCCCGCAGCTTGACGTCCTTGGGCACCCGGCCAGGAGGGACGTGGGCAGCAGCAGATTCCTTGGGTGAGGTGGGTGGTGCTTGCCCCCGCACCCAGTCCCTCGGGTTAGCGGAGAGAGGGCTTCCACCTTGACTGTCAGAGTGCTTGGATATAATTATGCTTATATAATTCTCCAGAAAACCTCTCGGAGGCAAAGTCACCTAATACAGCTGAGGAGAACCTTGTCAACATGTAACCAATCCTTAATATCTGCCAAGTGTTTTACATGTACTGTTACTCTCTGCAAAATAATTACACCCATTTTAAAGATGAGGAAACTGAGGCCCTGAAATGATCAGTAACTTGCCTGAGATGTCACAGCTAGAAAGTGGACGAGGTAAGACCCCAACCCAGATATTTGTCTGCGGAACCTGGTCTATAACCACTAGGCTATACTTCCTTGTCACAAGAGAGTTTTGTATTTTACTCTTTCTTAGCTTAAACCTGGAGGCAATATGATTAGACTGCCTCTAAAACTCAAGCAAGAGGAACCTCTACCGATAGCTACCCTTTGGCTCTCCACTGGCAGTGCCCCTCTCAGGGTCAAGATGATGGCCCATCTGGAGTCCGAACCCTCTTCTAGACTACGCTCCAGATAGAACTCTGAATGCCCTGCTCGAATGGTATCAAACCTGCTTCCGGGATCTGCTTGGGCCTTTGAACTCACCCCTGTGCCCAAGAAATGGCCCGTTGTTAGGGCAATGCTTGGACCTGTGGGCTGAGGTATGCATTCCCAGGTGCTTTGGGCCTCTCCTAGTACAGGAAGAGGGGTCAGTTAGGGTCAGCTTTATCTTCCCCTACACCTTCCAGCCTGGCCCTTGCAGGAGTTCAAGAATTCATAATTCACACTTGGCTATCCATTTCCTTGTGAAGAGGTATTTGTCAAGGAGGGAGTACAGGTCATAGTTTGTTTAACAGTTTGTTGTCTTGATTTGTAACTTAACTACTTAGATTAATGCTCTGTGGACCTCTATTTGTACTCTTGTCCACAAATGTTAGGTGTGGTTCTGAGTATGATATAGAAGAAAATGATATTGGATATCAGTTGTTATCTAGGGCCTTGGGCAGGTTTCCTTAAGCTCTCCTAACCTTAGTTTCCTCATCTATAAAATGATGATAATAAAAATTGCCCTACCCAGCTAGCTACACAAGGAACCTTGGGGGGAATCTAGTCACCAAATGCCTTATTTTACAGCAGAGAGAGCAGAGCAGAATTAGAACCCTGGTGTCCCAGCTGCACTTACCATGGTGCCAGGCTGTCTGTGGGGATAATAATTAACAGATAATAGATGGAAACATGCTTTTAAAGCTGTATCATCCCATACATGTGTCAAATTACTACCCAGACCCAGGCACTTAGACAGCCCCATCTGGAAGTGTACATCCTCAGGACTCCAGGTAACCTAACCATGAGGACTGGTATTATTGAACCTTGATGCCTCTTTAGTACCAGAAAGATGCCACAGTATGAGTACTTTTTATTAGAGCTTCTTCAATAGCAATTTTTGTTACACTCAGATAGTCTTCCACAGAAAGATTTAGATTGGGGCTTTGGGATTCAAAATGAGGCAATGAAAATTGTTGATGTACAAATTTTTAAGGTTGGCTACTTCCTCCTGTGAAATCTGTTGGGAGTCTTTTTCTAATCCTGCTTATAGCATGAATCATTATCTATCCTGTACCATAATGATTTACATGTCTAGGTCTGGTCACCCTAAGCACCTTGTGAATTACTTGAGGGCAGGGTCCAGGGTTTATCTTTGGAGCCACCTCTGTTCCTCATAGCACCTAGTACAGTTGAAGGTTTTCAGTAAGTATATATTGATGAATATGTAAGTAGTATTTTATTTATTTTCCAAACTCTGTGGTAAAAGAGTATATCAATCTTGATAAGACATATCATTTCCTAGATCCATAGAAAAATGTATACCGGCCGGGTGCAGTGGCTCACGCCTGTAATCCTAGCACTCTGGAAGACCGAGGCGGGCAGATTGCTCAAGGTCAGAAGTTCAAAACCAGCCTGAGCAAGAGCGAGACCCCATCTCTACTACTTTTAGCTGGGAGCCGTGGCCTGCGTCTGTCTGTAGTCTCAGCTACTCGGGAGGCTGAGGCAGCAGGATTGCTTGAGCCCAGGAGTTTGAGGTTGCTGTGAGCCAGGCTGATGCCACGGCACTCACTCTAGCCTGGGCAACAAAGCGAGACTCTGTCAAAAAAAAAAAAAAAAGAAAGAAAGAAAAATGATGTATACCAATGTTTTAGTCTCTCTTGTTGAGTTATAAATATGCTAGAATGATCAAAGTCTACTCTTAATTTTGGGGGAAACACTAAATCAATGCTATCTTGAGGAAAGATACCAAAGCTGCCAGTGGATAAACCCTTTCACTGAAGAAGACTTAACATTTCCAGATAACATGAAAAAGGATTTCTGGAAAACAATCTAAGGTAAAAGCTACCTGGTAAGGACAGTTTAACCTTTGATACCGAAAGTTAAATAAACAGGGGTCCTATCCCTGATCTTTGCTCACACAGTGGTACTGCTGAGCTCCTTCTAAGACTCTGATGTTGGGCCTTCAAAGAATTAGAAGATTTGTTAGAACATGAATCTTCTAAGTTCTCAAGAAAATAAGCACCTGCTTGTCCTTTTCATTTGTACGGTGTTAAGTAGAGTTTTATTTCATAAGTTTATGTTCATAGTTTTAGCTAGTACCATCTATATGTAAACAATTCTAAATAAATATTTCTAATTTTGAAAACACCAAAGGTAAATTGGTGGTGACCATGGATCATTACTTTAAAGTAGAAGTATAAATGTGATATTAACTGTGCCTTATGGAATTCTCAATAAATATTCATTAAGTGACTAAAAATGTTATAGAATAACCATGTATCTCCTGGTAGACTTAGGATATTTTACTTCATCAGTGGTCCTTTTAAAATAATCTCCAGTAATATTCCTAAAAATATTTTTTAGGTTAACCAAATCATCATTATTGTTTCATGCTATTCATACTATTCAGGTTACACTTTGGGTAGCCAACATATTACATATTGTTTCACACTACTACATACTATTCATATTATTATACTTTGGGGAACCATTTTGTAAGAAAAATTATTTGTAATGAGATTTTGTATCTTTATGTCTTAACAATGTCCTAAAATCCTAGCTTGATAACTAAACAAAGATCTACCTAGTTTTTTAATTTCAGTGTCTTGTCTATATAACTCGTACTTTAGTTCCTTATTCCTATTTTAATTACTCTTCAATGGAGATATGTAGGAGAGTCTTAAATTTTAAATTAAATAACCTCTTAAAATCATTCAAACTTTCTACAAACTTTTTGATAGGCTAAACCAAAGAAATAGAATCAAAATTGTTATTGTCTCAGGGACATTTGTTGATTTAATATTTAATAATGACCTCAACATAAAAATTAATATAGTATGTTATTTTTTATAATGCAAACCACTTAAGGTCTCTATAGAGAAATCACACTGGGCTAAAGTGTCACCCAGGCTTACCACAAACAGTAGGTTTGAGTTGTATCATAAACTCATACTAACGGTTTGGCTTATTTTCAGTCTTCCACCTGATTTTAGAAAAAAAACAGAAAAAGAAAAAGTTCCTCCTTTCTAAGATAAATGATCTGACCTTTTCTTTCAGGTCTTAGATTTGCTTGACACTCTGATCTGTAGAGAAAAGAGCACAACTCGCTTATACACAACTTTTATATGATGAATGTGCTCTCGCTCAAGGGGAATGTTAGAGAGATTTCATTGATCCTGTTTTTCTTAGTTGAAAGCTCAATTTCAAATCACAGTCTGCCTAAGATTTGTCTCCTCAGAACCTTCTGTCCCAGAGAACCAAATATAGCAAGAATGAGAGAAATTGCTTAGCTCCATGAAAAAGAATTTTCCTCTCATTTTCTTTTTTCTCATCAAGCACTAGATCAAAGCAGCCCCCTTTTCTTCTGAAGAAACAACAGTCTACCATTTCCCCTGATGCACAATCGAAGCCTATCACCCCTTCTGCAGCAGTGGCTCCAGTAAGTCTTTCAGACTTTGTGGTTTTGGTGGAGACAATGAGCCTCTCTCTTGAGGGAAAGGAAGTTTCTTTTGCAAGTTTTTCTTTGTAAACTAGGAGTAGGGTCTGGTTTAAGAAATCTGCCAGATGGGAGTTCTGTTTTATTGGCCTCTGGTAGATAATGTAGCAGTGAGAAGATAGAGGAAAGGATCTATGTGTGGTGGCTTAGGAAGAAGATAACACACAAAACTGCAATATTCAGTCTGTTTAAATAATTTTGTGATTATTATATTCAATTCTGTCATGGATGTTTGTAACTCTTTTGAAGTTTTTTTAAAAATCTGTTTTAAAACTTATATATAAAAGGGAGATTGTTCCATTATTCAACTATTATAATATAGACATATTATCACAAATTATATAAACAAAATCCTTCTCATTAAGGAATTTATGTCCTTAAAAGAAAACCTTATTGCCTTTTTTGTACACTATAATTTTATGGAATTAAAAAGGCATGATCTTGGAAAACTGAACAAATGTTTCTGTGTTCCATATAAGCTAGCTTTTCTAAATATGTGGTCCAAACTTTTCTACAAAAGCCAAACAGTAAATATTGAAGGTTTTGTAGGCCATACCATCTCTATTGCAATATTCTGCCCTTGTAGTGTGAGAGTGGCCATCGACATTATGTAAATAAATGGACATGGCTGGGTTCCAGTAATACTTTTTTGTGGAAACAGGTGGTAGGCTGCATTTGGCCCACAGGATCATAGTTTGCCATTTTCTAAACCATATATAGAGAAAAAAATATCTTTATTTGTTGCTAGAGGTTCTTTTAATCAAACTGAACTACTAACTTGTCATTAGATGTAGTTATAACTCTTAGCCATATGCTATAGTAAAATGTCCTCAAATAGGGAATATATACCAACCAATATGACTGTAATTCTGTATAATTTATGAAATGTTCATATTGCTATTTTTATACAAAATATGCCAAATTTCTTACTAACAGTTATTTCTTACTAACAGCCATTTCTTATTTGCTTTCTCATGTCTTTGTTATTGATTTGTAATTGTTGATTATGGATTATAGGTATGCAATATTTGACGGGATACTAGTCCTATATCAATCATATGCCTTGCAAATAATTTTATCAGTTTATTATTAGTCTTTGATTTGTTTATGCTTTTTTATTGAGGTTTTTTTTTAATTCCTATTTTTAAAATATCTCTTTGTTGGTGGGTTTTTTTCGTGGGTTTCATGCAAAAAATAGGAAGACAGCTCACACCCCAAGACATTTTAGACAAACAGTGTTTTCTTCTAGCATTTTTATGGTTTCATTTTTTTCATGGTTACATTTTGCTTTGCTTTTCAACTGAAAGGAGAACATCAGTAAAGATGGTGAGACTGAAATCCAAGCAATAGGATGTCCTCTGAAAGAGATTTCTGAGGGAAGGGCAGAGGAGTCCGAGAACACTGGTGGCAAATCTGAGTAAGCATCCTCCCTGTCCAACAGGAGAGAAGAGCCAAGAAAGCCAAGTGAGTGAAAAATCGAAAGAGTTCACACTGCAAATAACCTCCTTTCTATAAATAAAAATGTCAAGGCACCTACTGAAAGGGGGGGGTGGCGATGTGAGTTTGGGAACCTGAGTGGAAATGAAATTGTTTCTAATAGTGACTGTGCAGCGCACCTTGTGAAGTTGTTAGGCTGCTAAATTTTGGTTGCATGAATTTGTGAAGATGCCAGTTCAGGGGGGGTTATTATTATTAAGAAGGGTAGTGAGCTGAGTGTCGTGGCTCATGCCGGTAATCCTAGCACTTTGGGAGGCAGAAGCAGGAGGATCACTTGGGGCCAGGAGTTTGAGACCAGCCTGGGCAACAGAACAAGAAACTGTCTCTACCAAAAATAGAAAAGTTAGCCAGGCTTTGTGGCAAGCATCTGCATTCCCAGCTACTCCTACAGGCTGAAGCAGGAGGATTGCTTGAACCAAGAGTTTGAGGTTGTAGTGAGCTATGATGATGCCACTGCACATTAGCCTGGGCAACAGAGCAAAACCCTGTCTCAAAAGAAAAAAAAAAGGGATAAAGGATATTGATAATTCCTCTTAAGTTTCTCAGATCATATTCTGTTAAAATTTCTGAAGACTTTTTCTCAGCACATAGAAATAAATCATTGTAAAATGAACTATGTGTCCTTCATATGTCCATACCCCTAGTGAAAATATGCACATCAACATGTGATTTATGTAATTAAAAATTCCATTACTAATGGTAAATTAAATGTACTCAATAAAATGCCTTACCTATGTAGTCTCTTGAGTTTCTCTTTCTGCTGCATGCTATTACAATAAAACCTTGACCACCTAAACTCTTAAGAGTCACTTGAGTAACTATTTGTCTAAAAAATGTTGCTGTTGTCTGAGATATTCTGTCACAATAAGAAAAATGTTTATTATCTATTCATTAGATAAGTAGTATATATTTACTATAATAAATTTGAAATGTATAGAAAAGCTGATAGAATAAAATAAAAATAAATTACTCCAAAACACAAACTTGGGCATTCTGGTTAATAGTCTTCTTGTATTTTATCATAGAATTAATTTATATATTCCACCAGGTCTAGTTTTCTTCTGCATATTTTCACTTATAATTCAATTTTGCCTCAGGTATTCTGTAAAGTGCTGGTCAGGAAATAAAAGTCAAATAAAAGAGATATCTTAAGTACTCATATGGCAAAAAATTTTTCCCTCTTATTTAATGGTTTTTGATGGGAATCTTTATATCTCTTAGGCTAACACTGTTGCAATGCTACTGAGGTTAAAAGTTGCCCAAGAAGTTACTTTCTTGACAAAGCCCCCACCCCCATGGCTGCCTAGTTTGGGGTGGTTTGTCTGTTTGTCCTGCAGGAGGAGTAAAGCATGTTCATGTTCATGACTTCTGGGGCTGTAGAACATGGCTGCTCATCTGCACAATTAACTATTGAATCAAAGGCTTCAGCTGCATTCTCCCAAATGGTTTTGTCACTCTTCAGAAATTATCTTCCTCTTTGTTGCAAACAGTGCCCTTATGTGTCAGCACCATGCCAAGCACCAGCAGTGACTTCTGCATCACTAACATTTCTGCTTTTTTGTCAGTTTGTACCCAAGCTTCTATCTCTTTTGCCTGAAGTTTTTCCTGAGGCTCAAAAGAAACTCTTTCCAAAGTGTGTCCTAACATGTTTGGAAAATGACTTAGTCTCTCAAGGCTACAAAGACTTTATCAGAAAAAAAAAGAAAACGACTTTTGTTGACATGGTTTCAGGCCAAAATTTTCTCTAAACTCTGTTTAGTGTTTGATTTGAATAGAATACCAAACATAAGCAATATTTAAAATTGTATATTCATTGCAATATTGGAATGGGAATCCTGAATATTACATGCCTGATAAAATCTACTTTTTCATTAAACTTCATGTGCAATAAAATTTTCTATCTTGAATAATATTTTCTATAGGCTGACCCAGGGAGTTACTATTCGGTGGCTGGGAGATAGCAGTAGTGTCACAGATACCACTGTATTTCCTCTGAAGTGAGCTGAATAATTGTGTAAAAACAGGATAGTTTTGTTATCCTCACATAAGTCTGTGGTTCTGAGAAGATCCTTCATTAAATGTAAATAAAAATAGGAGGAGGAGGTTGGTTATAACAAGAGAGACTCTCTTTGACTTTCCAAGCATTATTTGTACTCTGCAAGCAACAGCAACTAGTACTATGCAGTTTCCTAAATATTAAACTCTCAGACTATTGTTATGTTTAATGCAGATAAACTTTCATTGATGTGTAAAGCTGCAAGTTAAATTAGAACAACTTTAGATGACTTTTATGTATCAAGCTTAAACCTAAGCTTGTTTTATTCTAAGATACAGGCAAACCAGGGAAGGAAGGTGTAGGACCAGTAAGTCAAGCCAGGAAATGCACTATTCTGTAAGGGTCCAAGTTACCACTGCAGAGGTAAAGAGGAGATAGTTGAGGCTCATAAATGTGATTCAGGGACAACAGAAGTTATCAAAGAGAAAAGGAGATGTCTGTCTAAAGTAGAGTTTATATCTTAGATTATCCCGTGGGATAGCCCCATTGAGTGTACCTGAGGGAAAGAGCCTGCAATAGAATAGCAAGATATCTTGGCCATTGAGATCACAAGGTACCGGCAGCATTGGAACCCACAGTTCATGCAATGTTCAGTGTCAGAGTCCGCAGCTTTGGTGACTGCAGCAGCCAGAGAGGGTCTGGGATAGACCTCCACAGCAGCAAGCAGTCACTTATCCTAGCAGTGTAATAGTCACTTTGGGGATTCTTAGCCATACCAAAGAATTCAATATAATGAGCAATCCACAATATAATGTCCAATCCACAGAGCAGCCAGGGAGGCTGGTCTGAAAGGGCAAGGGAGACGACCCTAAGGTCTCCAGGTGCTGTTTGTGAGAAATCAAGGTGGTCTGGACTTCTATACTGTTGTTAGAGACTAAGGCAAAATAATAATAATAAGATGCATGATTGTGATTGTTCTAGCTCTCAGCTGGCATAATGTAGCATATTAGCTTACATGAGAAATTGTTTAGAAGTAAGTTTTCTCAACAAGCCATAAAACTTTTCTAGCACTACCTTCATCTTCACAGAACTTCCTGGGTTTATTTATTTATTTATTTTTTTAATTTTAGCATATTATGGGGGTACAAGTGTTAAGGTTATGTATATTGCCCATGCCCCCCCCCCCCGGGTTTATTTTTAGTGTCTTCTAAAGTTATCTCACATTGAAAGAACTAGAAACACTCATGGCTTTACTTAGGAAACCCAACTAAGAGATTATGGAACTAAACAAATAAATGTTTATTTATCACATAACAAGAAGTCTGAAATTCGAGTGCCTCTGGCCTTGGTCCAATAGCTCAGTTAAGAGAAATGCTTCCCAGAAATCTAGTCTGCTTTTGTGGCAGGAAAAAGGTGGCCTAGGAAGGTGGAACAAAGGATGCACAAGGAGAGCCTTCTGTTTTTATCAAGAAAATAAAAACTCCAGGAGACTTCTAGTTATATTTATTTGGCTAGCACTGTATTGCATGCCCTTTAGCTGGGAAAATTGGTATTTAACTTTTCCATCTTTTATAGTAGAGAGAGACAAAGGAGAAAAAATGGAGACTAGTGTTGGGTAAGGCAACCCATAGCATCTACCCCAAGCACCAAACCATTCTTTAAAAACTCAGTATTGTTCTGTCAGTTAATTTGTACATAATATTTTCATGCCTGTTCAATAAATATTAGATGAGAAATAGATACAATCTTTTATCTTTTCATTAAAAATTACATTTAAAATCCTGTATTTGTATTCAGTCTGATTGTGTACATGATACAAAGTTTTGGTCAACCCAACTTTGGTTTACACAAAAACCTGAAAAAAAATTAACTTTTTTACATTTTTTGACTTCTCATGTACAACTCATATGAAGTAGAGAGAGTACTAGATTTTTAGTCTGACAGATTTACTTTTAAAATTTGACTTCCTAGGTGTAAAATTTTGGACAGTTTAGGTTCTGTGGTAGCCAGCCTCCAAGATGGCTCTCACCAGTCCCTTTTGGCATTCGCATTCTTGGAGAGTCTTCGCCCTCAGTGTATCAGGGTTGGTCTGTATGACCTATACAACATGACGGAAGGGATGGTGTGTCACTTCCATGATTACGTTATAAAAGACTGCAGCTTCTGTTTTGAAATCTGTCTCTCTTAAATTTCTCTCTCAGGGGGAAGCCAGCTGCCATTTCTTCCAGACATCACGCAACCCTGTGGAGAGGACCAAGTGACAGGGCAGTGAGATCCTTGTTCCAACTGGTGAGAGAAACTGAGGCCTGCCAACAATCAAGAAGATGAACCTGGAAGCTAATCCTGCAGCATTCAAATGACTACTGGCCTAGCTGACAGCTTGACTGCAATCTCATGAGAGACCCTGAGCCAGAACCACCCAGCTAAGCTGCCGCAGAGTCCTGGCCCTCAGAAACTGTGTGAGACAAATGTGTTTTGTTTTAAGCTGCTAAGTTTTTGAGTAACCTGTTATACAGCAATAGATAACTAATACAACTTCTTTAAACTTCACTATCCTATATCTCTAAATTGGGTATATAAATGACTGTTGTGAGGATGATAAAACAATGTATGTGAAATTGCCTACTGCTGTTCCTGAAAAATAATAAAGGCATAAAATATGTCATTTTGACAAATATTATTTGTTCATGATCATTTTCACATTTACCTTTTTCAGAACTCTTTTATTTGTTTAAGATTGGCAGAATTTTTTAAAAAAATACCTTTGCCCTTTGTTCTTCACTGGAACTAGTGTAGAATACAGGTCATTGTACACAGCTGGCTCTGTGACATGGCCTCGGCACTCTGCTGCAGTGAAGATGGTTTTGTTATTTAAGGTCACTTGTGTTTAATAATGAATGTCTTGCCCAGAGTGCTGAATGGTAGTGTCCGATGTGTATCTAACAGGCTCACAACTAAATAAAATATTTCTCTATTGATGCAAATAGGTCCTGTCTTCTACTAGAACGCCTCGAGTCATTTTAATATACCCCACTGGGGGAATGCATATCTGTTACTGAATCACTGATACAGGGAGTACGTGGCAGAGATTCTGTCTGCCACACACTCTGCAGAGTTTTCCAGTCTTATTTTGCTTTGTCTCTAGACCTTTGCTCCTTTCCATTGCCCCATAAATTTCTAATCACAACTGCTGCCAGATTTGCTATGTAGCCTCAGATCATCTCTGTTGTTCTTTTTGCTTTTTAAAAATTACTTCCTTATTTCATATCTCATGCTACTTGTACACCTCATTGCTTTCATGCCAAAAAAAGAGTGTGTATATATAAATGTATATATATATACACACGTATGCCCATGTATATAAATGTATATGTACACACATATACACATATAATATACATATATACACATACACACACATATTCTACCCAATTATATATCCAATTGGAACACTTCCTTTTTTCTTGATCAACGTAGCATGCTGAGAATACTTTTGATATTTACTATCATTCTTCACTATCATTTGTGGCTAGATACTCAGGACTTGGCTTCTTTGCCCCAGGCCAGGGCTTTTGTGTTGTTGCTATTGATTTAGCTGTTTAAGTTTGTTCTACATCTGCAGTAGCTCCAAAAGTCTGAGGGTTCTGAAATACTGGTTTCTAGAGAGCAGAGATTTTCCTGCAGTAGTATGTATCGGTCCCAGGCTCTCACATTGTAATTGTCAATTAGCCCAGCCTCCTAACCGGTCCTTTGCCTCCAGTCTTGCTCTCTTCCATGTGCCAGTCAATCCTCTGTAATGCTAGTGGATAGAGCTCATTAAAAACATAACTGAAAAAATGAATGAATCACAATATGGATGACTCTTAAAGACATAATGTTGAGTGAAAAAAGCCAGATAACAAAATACATACTGTATGATTCTATTTCTATAACATTGTAAAAGGCAAAATTAAATTATTTTGTTCAGACATGTGTAATTAGAGAGTAAACTATAAAGAAAATCAAGGAATTATGATTAGCTCTTGGAAGGAGGACTGCACATTTTGGTATGTTGTAGAACGAGAGGGGCAGGAAAACCGACATAATTTGTGGAGCCCGATGCCAAATGAAAATGCAGGATTCCTCATTCAAAAAGTATTATGAATTTCAAGATGGCAACAGCAAAGCATTAAGCTGAACAGAGGATCCTTCTCAGTGTCAGGCTCTGTGCAAATGCTCAAGTTGTACTCATCCATGAAGCCAGCCTGATTTAAGGACTTCTGGAGTTCTGCTAGTGCTTTAATTTTTTACCTGGGAGAAGGAGAATCATACAGATGTTTTTTTTCAGAAACATAATGAAGTCAAACATTAATGATGTATGTAACTTTCTGTAAGTTTATTGTAATTTACAATTTTTTTTGTAAATGTGAAAAACAAAAGCAAATCAGAACTGCTGAAATCACTTCCACCTCAAAAACCTGTAAAATTGTTTTCCATGGATTAAAATGCTTCCCCTTGCATCTTCATTGTTGCAGGCGCAGCTCAAATGCCAGCTTATCTGCGAAACAGTCTAGATTTCTTCCATTAATATTAACCATTTCTGGAGCTCACATCTGTAATCCTACCACTTTGGGAGGCCAGGAGTCAAGACTAGCCTGATAACATAGAGAGATCTCAATTCTACAAAAAATGGAAAAATTAGTTGGACATGGTGGCATGTACATATAATCCCAGCTAATCTGGAGGCTGAGGCAAGGAGGATCACTTGAGCTCAGGAGTTTGAAGTTGCAGTGAACTATAATGACACCACTGTACTGTAGCCCAGGCGACAGAGCAAGACTCTCTCAAAAACAAAACCAAAATAAAATAAAATTAACCATTTCCTTTTCTCTCCTCCCTTAGCACTTTCCCTCTCTTTATTACAGCTTTTAATTTTTCTACTTCAAATCAGAGTTTTGAGATTGTTTTTTCTGATGAACATGAAATGTTGGGGAAATTTTTCAGTCTTATTCATGTCATATTTAGGATTCTGTAGGGCATTTAATTGAAGTTAAAGCCAAAGATTATCATAATCTATTATAAAACCTAAAACTCCCCAAATTCCTCCACATTGCAAGTCTTTACACTATGCAATGAGGTAAGGCGACAGAGGTTAAAGTTCCTATGCAAATTAAGATATGTGTGTTCACCTGGTGCAAATTTGAAATAGACACCAAGTATTTTATGACATCAACATTTTTCTGTTTCGCATCTGAGATGAATCTCATACCTCTGTTTTTATGACTGTTTCAACATCATAAATGTAATATGCCGGCAGGCACTTTTCATGTAACAGACGCCCTGGATACCATTTTCACAGCAACACATTTTAAAACACTATTATCCACTATTTTCTTTGATTTTTTTTTCCTTGGCATATTTTAACTCTCACTAACACTTTGGGTTCTTTTCATAAACATGTGACTTGGACATTTTCTTACAACAGACAGATGGGTGTGTTCTGTGGGTATTATTTCTAAAATGAAGAAAATGTTCTCCTTTACCAGCATCTGGGTAAGATTTGGAGTTCTGTCACAGATTTAAAATATAGACAGAAATAATCATCTCTCTCCCACATGAGGTGACTGTACTCTGCAAGTAATCTTTTTGTGTGTGTTTTTTTTTCTTATGACAAGCTTTGAAATCGCAAATGAAGTATGGGTTCAGAAAAACCACTATATGAAATAGTATCTGGGCATTTCTTGTCATCATTCATTTTGGTGGATGCTCTCCAGTCATACTGCCCAGATAGCCTCTTTACAATTCTGTGGAAGCATAAAAGCGTTTTATACCTAAGTAAAACACTGATGAATAGACTTCTAAATGTATATACAAATGAGAATATTTTATTCATCTTAACACATTATTTCACTGTACAAATCCTACACAAGTCAATTTGACATTTGGCTGGCAAACATATGGTTACATACTCAGTGGCATAGACATACAGTAAAATTATTCAATGAAAAACGTCTACCATTTTTACAGGATAATTTATTTTAATTGACACAAAGATTTTAAATAATTCTTCTTTTACTCTGCCAAGTAATCATATACAACAGAGTAAAAATCAACCTCTTTTTCTTTGTCAGAGACAATTACATTAAGAGAATATAAAACTCCATTATTTATGCTCTATTTATGGCATCTCTTTCTACAACACTTATCACCTAAAGACCAGAGATCAATACCCACAAGGACAATAGGACATATTTTTTAGAGGTTTTCAGTTTAACTATTTTTTCCTTAATAAATTTTTATGTACAACATGAGGTTCCTGGGAGTTCCGACTGCTTCAGGATCTTTTTGTTTGTTGTTTCTTCAGCTTGGGGTATTCTTTCAGCTCTTCCTGTGGCTGGTTTCCTCTTTTTCACTAAGGTGTCACCTCTTGAGGCCGTATCAACCTCTATCTAAATTAACACCACTCCCTTCTCCCTGAATTATATATAATAGGAGTTAACTAATATAAAGGGCATGCCGCAGGCCAAATCTGATCCTCTCTTTTTGCATAGCTCATGAGTTAAGAATAGTTTTAATCTTTTTTTAATGGTTAAAATAAAAAATATTTTCACATATTTAGTGATGTGAAAATTACAATAAATTCAAATTTTAGTGTCTATAAAGAAACTTTTATTAGAACACAACCATGGGCCGGGCGCGGTGGCTCATGCCTGTAATCCTAGCACTCTGGGAGGCCGAGGCGGGCAGATTGCTGGTGGTCAGGAGTTCGAAACCAGCCTGAGCAAGAGCGAGACCCCGTCTCTACTATAAATAGAAAGAAATTAATTGGCCAACTAATGTATATAGAAAAAAATTAGCCGGGCATGGTGGCGCATGCCTGTAGTCCCAGCTACTTGGGAGGCTGAAGCAATAGGATTGCTTGAGCCCAGGAGTTTGAGGTTGCTGTGAGCTAGGCTGATGCCATAGCACTCATTCTAGCTTGGGCAACAAAGTGAGACTCTGTCTCAAAAAAAAAGAATACAACCATGACTATTCATGTATAAAGGCTCTGTGACTGTTTTTGGACTACAATGGTAAAATGGAGTAGTTTCAACAGAGATAGAATAGTCCACAGTCTACATGGCCTTTCACAGGAAAAGTTTGTCACTCTCTGTTGTAGGAGATTTCACAAAATATATGTTGTTTCACTCCACTTATCACATCTGTAATCATGTTTTTATTTATTAATTTGCCTGCTCACTTATGTGCTTAATAAGGACAGGTACATTGTCTATCTCCTCAGTGCCCAGATCAGTAAATATCTGGATACACTAAGAAGAACTTAATAAATATTTGTTGAATGGCCATAAAATAAATAATTGGACTGTAGCCTCTGGAATGAAGCCCTTCACCTTATTTCTATATCCTTTTTTATAAGTAAGGCAGAATAGGGTAAACCTATTTCTTATAATTGAGAGCAGCAATTTATAAGATTGTAAACAACACACAGCAAGCCATTTTCATAGTACAGTAACAGCACTATTTAAGGACATTAATTTTTAACCTGGGCTGTCCAGTTTCTAGATGGCTCTATCTGGCTTCCAGATTAGGCCCATGCGGAAGTTGTGTGATTCCACTGGGGTTTCACTTCTGAATCAGATGCAAGCTCCCAGAGAAGATTAGATCTCTTCAAGTTCCATTCTCAAAATATAATCCCTTTCCCTCTAGTAATGCCTTTCATTGATTATACACTTATGCTCACTTGAAGGCCTGACTCCCACACTTTCTTTATTATTTGGAATTAAACCGTTTCCTAGCAATGTCAGAGATCTTGAGTTCTTACTAATTAGCAATTGAGCCCTAAAAATTAGTTATGGTCAGTAATACATATATGCATCTTTTGTTTGTTTGTTTTTTGGGGGCTTGTTTGTTTTTCTTTTTTGAGACAGGGTCTCAACTCTGTTGCCCAGGCTAGAGTGCAAAGGTGTCATCAGAGTTCACTGCAACCTGAAACACCTGGACACAAGTGATCCTTCTGCCTCAGCCTCCTGAGTAGCTAGGACTACAAGCATGCTCCACACTATGTCAGGCTACTTTTCTATTTTTTATAGAGAGGGTGTCTCATTATGTTGCTCAGGCTGGTCCAGAAGTGGCCTCAAGCAATCCTTCCACCTCGGCCTCCCAAAGTGCTAGAATTATAGGCTTGAGCCACTGCCCCTGGCCCATACATATATGTATTTTAACCCTGATGAAGATTTAGGAGATTTCCTATAAAGATCCAAGTCTCCCAGTTTCAAATGGAGATGGGCTGTTATACATGCT